TTGAATAATAATTCATTTACCTGGTGGTAAATTTTAAATGGATCATGCTTTTTGTGACATTAAGTTACTTCACATGGTTTTGTACCCTTTGGATTATGTCCCTTGCAGAGTTAATGAGTTTTGTGAGAAGATATATCAATAGCTAAAATCTTTGTTGGTCAACCACTACCTGTTTTGTCACTTCCTGTTTTGTCACTTCCTGTTTTCGGGGTTGCCACCTAATGGTAGATGACAGAGTCTATACATTTTAAATGACACTTCATTGTGAACTATTCTATTCCAGGAAAGCATTAAAAAAGCCTTTGAGCCAGCTTTCTACAACATAACACAAATCTTGCCGTTGCACTGTGCAATGATCAATAACCGTTAATTTTGACTTACGTAACTATAATATGTATGTAGGAATTTTTCTCCTGTTGAACAGGAGCGTGCCGATCAATAAGTGTTAATTTTGACTTAGGTATATAGTAAAAATGTCTCTCTACATCAAGGTTGTCTTGATCTGTAATAAATTATCTGTTAATTTTTAAATAGATACACATATCTTCAATTTTTATGTCCTCCTTTTTTCAAATGATGACTTTTTGTCGTCTGCTGGTACGGCTTGTTACCGTGGTAATAAGGAATGATGGCTGTTTCCCTTCTGTACCCCAGACCTCAGACTCTGATGTCTTTTTCCCATGAGCAGACGCAGTTTTAATTGACTTCATTGTGCAAGGAATTTTAAAAGCAACACATGCTATTTAAAAGAAAAAGAAAAGAAATGTAATGTTAACAAGCGTTGATTATGGCTATCATATTCTACACCAAGTTTCCTGTTACACCATTTAAAAGTACTCATTAATTAGGTCTGAGGTTCTTATTACACCAAGAAAATTTGAATTTTTAAATAAAGGGAAACCTGGAGTTTATTTGATATCCTTTTCACAGGTATTGTCATGAGATTAAACATAGGTTGGGGTCTATTGAAATGGCCGTCCTAATTAGATCTAAGGCCTAATCATAGTGGTTACCGAGGACAACAGATAAGTAATGGGCCCCTTGATCATTCATCCTCCATTACAAACACAGTCGACTTATCACAATTTAAATCTCACAATTTAATTTCAACCTTAATATCTGGTCAGTGCTTTCAGGTGGAAATCTTCAGTGATAGAGCCAAGCACTTATGGTCGAGTTTATACCTTGATGTCGTGGCCATAGTTGGTTTAATTGGTTGTTGTGTGCTCACAATATTTGTACATTGTCTTGTGCTAATCCTATTTATGATAGTGTGTGTCAGGAAATGAAGTCATAATTATAATTACCTATACTTTCAATTGAACGAGTTATCCCATGGGCCACGTTTTCAAGCTTTATAGTGAGACAGATATACATTAGAAGTTTAATTTCAGTTCCCTCTGTACACACCAGGTTGGTTGACCTGATTACAGGCTTTCACTCTCTGCCACAACAGTACACCACAGTTCAACATGGCTTTTTTCTACACTGAAATGAAAAAATTAAATTTTCATGTCTGTCTAGGAAAAGTAGACTTTGTTAATGTATTTAAATATAATGCCATGTACGTAGTTTAAACTGCTTCCAACATTGTCAGTGCAAAACTTAACTTGAATTTAAATATGCCAAACCTATAATCGACTGTCCTTGTCTCTTTGTCAAACCATCTATATTGGCAAGAATACAAATATTGAATCTATTCACCATTAGCTCTATACATGGTCACTCTGATCAGCTGGAATTAATGCTCAGAAATGTTTCTTCATGTCGATAATGATATCTTAAGTCAGAAATGCTAAGGCAGAAGACCGATTTCTGATCCTGAAGGATTTCGATCCTTGTTTTGTTTGACCCTTGTAGACAAATGGGATCTCTCGAAATAGCAAGATTTTGGAAAAGTGGTAGACCTGATCTTTGACAAGTTTACCCATCCTTTTTAGCTGTAAAATTACTTAATTGTGAATGTTTCTTAAATTCAATACATCCATCCTTGACACGTCAACACTTATATTCTTATAAAATTATGTGGTATTTCAATATTTTGCCTTCAAGTTTATTGCTGTCTGCAACCACAATAAATTGTGTGTCATCATCACAAAAGAGCTTGCTTCTAACTTGTATTTGAAACACATAACTGATCCAGATCAAAGGTGTGATTTGAACTATCTTGCTAGTACATGATATCTGCTGAGAACACTACCGATAGAGATAGTTATTTGGAAGGTTTTTATGGTTGTTTCCATTTTCTTTCTTCAAAAAACCCAACAATGCCTAGTTTGTTATTTTGTCAATCAAACATAGAAGCACATTGCAATAGATGTTAAGTGGCAATTTAAACATGATATACATTTGTTGGTTGTTGTTACAGATGATATTGCAATACAGGTTTGTCCTAATTTTGACAGGATGATTTCATTCCTTTATATGGAAAGTAAAAGTAATTATTTCTCTGTAACAAGTATACAGTGTAAAGAAAAGGTAGATATCTGTCCTTAACAAGGGCTAATGTGTCTACATACAGGTGGTTATATCTTCCTTACAAGGGCACAGTGTATAGTGGTAAATATCTGTCCTTAACAAGGACTAATGTGTCTACATACAGGTGGTTATACCTTCCTTACAAGGACACAGTGTAAAGAGGTAGATATCTGTCCTTAACAAGGGCTAATGTGACTACATACAGGTGGTTATACCTTGCTTACAAGGACACAGTATATAGAGGTAGATATCTGTCCCTAACAAGGGCTAATGTGACTACATACAGGTGGTTATACCTTGCTTACAAGGACACAGTATATAGAGGTAGATATCTGTCCCTAACAAGGGCTAATGTGACTACATACAGGTGGTTATATCTTCCTTACAAGGGCACAGTGTATAGAGGTAGATATCTGTCCTTAACCAGGACTGATGTGTCTACATAGAGGTGGTTATACCTTCCTTACAAGGACTTATGTTTATAGAGGTAGATATCTGTCCTTAACAAGGACTAATGTGTCTACATACAGGTGGTTATACCTTCCTTACAAGAACACAGTGTATAGAGGATATGTGGGTTCTTATTTCTTTTCAATAAGTAGGTGTATAGAGGTAGATATATGTCCTTAACAAGGACTAATGTGTCTACATACAGGTGGTTATACCTTCCTTACAAGGAAACAGTGTATAGAGGTAGATATCTGTCCTTAACCAGGACTGATGTGTCTACATACAGGTGGTTATACCTTCCTTACAAGAACACAGTGGATAGAGGATATGTGGGTTCTTATTTCTTTTCAATAAGTAGGTGTATAGAGGTAGATATATGTCCTTAACAAGGACTAATGTGTCTACATACAGGTGGTTATATCTTCCTTACAAGGGCACAGTGTATAGTGGTAAATATCTGTCCTTAACAAGGACTAATGTGTCTACATACAGGTGGTTATATCTTCCTTGCAAGGACACAGTGTATAGAGGTAGATATCTGTCCTTAACAAGGGCTAATGTGTCTACATACAGGTGGTTATACTTTCCTTACAAGGACACAGTGTATAGAGGTAGATATCTGTACTTAACAAGGGCTAATGTGACTACATACAGGTGGTTATACCTTCCTTACAAGGAAACAGTGTATAGAGGTAGATATCTGTCATTAACCAGGACTAATGTGTCTACATACAGGTGGTTATATCTTCCTTGCAAGGACACAGTGTATAGAGGTAGATATCTGTCCTTAACAAGGGCTAATGTGTCTACATACAGGTTGTTATACTTTCCTTACAAGGACACAGTGTATAGAGGTAGATATATGTCCTTAACAAGGACTAATGTGTCTACATACAGGTGGTTATATCTTCCTTGCAAGGACACAGTGTATAGAGGTAGATATCTGTCCTTAACAAGGGCTAATGTGACTACATACAGGTGGTTATACCTTCCTTACAAGGACTAATGTTTCTACATACAGGTGGTTATACCTTCCTTACAAGAACACAGTGGATAGAGGATATGTGGGTTCTTATTTCTTTTCAATAAGTAGGTGTATAGAGGTAGATATATGTCCTTAACAAGGACTAATGTGTCTACATACAGGTGGTTATACCTTCCTTACAAGGAAACAGTGTATAGAGGTAGATATCTGTCCTTAACCAGGACTGATGTGTCTACATAGAGGTGGTTATACCTTCCTTACAAGGACTTATGTGGATAGAGGTAGATATCTGTCCTTAACAAGGACTAATGTGTCTACATACAGGTGGTTATATCTTCCTTACAATGACACAGTGTATAGAGGTAGATATCTGTCCTTAACAAGGGCTAATGTGACTACATACAGGTGGTTATACCTTGCTTACAAGGACACAGTATATAGAGGTAGATATCTGTCCCTAACAAGGGCTAATGTGACTACATACAGGTGGTTATACCTTCCTTACAAGGACTAATGTGTCTACATACAGGTGGTTATACCTTCCTTACAAGAACACAGTGTATAGAGGATATGTGGGTTCTTATTTCTTTTCAATAAGTAGAATGTGACATAATCCTATTTACAGCCACTGAGCTCATCAGTATCCTCTTTTTCGGACTAGATCTTAAAAACAAGGTTTGCCAATTCATACGGGGACTATAAATACAACTAAACGGGTCTAAACGGGGTTTAGATGTGATGTTTGCGTAAAAGGTAATTACCAAACTACAATTCCTTTGGAAAGAAAGAAATACATTAGATATAAGTAAGAAAGAGGCGATAAAACAAAAATTATTACATAAACGTCCAATGAGAGCCCCAATACAGTTGTCATGGTAGCGTTGTTCTAGGCTTTGAGCCTATATAGACGTTGTATGTACCAATGTAACGGAGGGTGTGACGCAGGTTTACTATTAAGTTACATCTCACTAGAGAAAGAATCTAATTTTCTCAAAGTGTTTAATTACTGGTAATCACAATCTTGATGCCTTGTGTCCAAATTCACAACAATACATTTTATATTTTTGTTGGTTTTTATATCTTACAGATTAGTTTACTTCAGTGATCCCTGGACGACAGCATGGAAGTTGACGTTTAATTTGGACAAAAGAGTTGACATACAATCATTAAAGGAAAGGGTAGGTAGTATTTAGCTTTTGTCTAGTTTAAAACCCTAGCTAATTCCCAATTAAGACAATTTTATTAAGTATTTTTCCCTCGCTATTATTTTCTTTTAGCAAGGTTGAATATTTAAGGAATAATTATACTCCCACAAAGGTGTTTACTCTGAGTAATTTTATTAGGCAAATACATGACATGTTCTTTGTTTGAGCGGTACATGACGGCTTTAATAGCCAGCCCCAGAGAATGCTTCCCCACTTAACACTACAGCTAAGGAACAAGAATTAATTTAAATACTTGTACATCTAATAATTAAGGAGGTCCCAAACAGAGGCTTTACAAATACATTACGTTTCCTTTCTTTGGAGTTCTATATAGGCTTCTTCAATTTCATGTACCAGTGCTGAAGGGCTCAAGTTTGGAGTGTAAATTTCTCAACGACTTCAATTTGACCTCATGGTACGGGGTGATGAGAACTTCATGTCAATTCTAGAACATAAGAACTTTATTTGAAAGATTTTGTTTAATTAAGATTTTTGACATTCTCAAAAATCGCAAGATTTTGTCATCACCGTTATCAATCTGTCATAACAGACAAAGAGCATGTTGAATATTGATGACATTTTTCCATTTTCCTGTAAATCTCTGTCAAAAGTTGAGCACAATTCGTTTGAGTGATATGATTAAGTATGAGAGGTGTTCTGGTACGAGTTATTGTAATCCTCAGTCAGGTACCTAACAAACATAGCCATACGTTTAATTTATAGGGTAAAAAACTTTCCTACAAAGTTGCTCCAACATTCCGCGGTGATATATGTGAGGCATGTATGATGACATACAGATGTACTTAGCTTAGATACCTGACTTTCTTCTTACCTTGAGTGATTGCTATTGAATAAGATACCTTTCTCAGTTATTGTTTTCAGTAAACTAGCTGTTAATTGGAATGAACTTAAAACATGTGAATTGGAATAAACTTAAATCATGTTGTTGACCTTTGCAATCTTTAGAAAAGTGTATTGTTTCACAGAAAACTGTTTAAGAATTTAACCTTTGTAAATGTGTGGATTTTGGATTAAAAAAAAATGTCTATTTTACAGTCCACAAGTTGAGACTAGTTCTTATCTATGAAATTAAATCTACAGAACATTCATTATGATAAATAAATTGTAAATATAAGGGAGTTTAATTCTAATACTGATTTAATGTATAAACGATATAGATGATTATAGATGATCCTCAGTCTGTCCTTACCTGTACTGAAATGGGTATAAAAATGTCATTAAATTATTAATAAATAGTATGTTAGTATGTAAATCAGCCATTTAGAGTTGGTGAGAACTTTAAACTTTCATATTTTTAATTTAATTAAATATGACAAATTCAAAACTATTTCTATGAGGTACCTGTTTACGGCCTGATCGTAGGGTATCGATATTAGCATTTTATGTTTTTGTTCTGAAATAAGAATTTAAATGGGGATCAAAGCCATCTTAGTTCTATCCTTGACAAGATTATAAATATTGATTTATCCCTGAACAGAAACCTTCATTAAGACAGGTCTTTTGAACAATCTAATTTCCAAATTCTTGACAGACTTTATGCTGTCAGAACCATTAAGATATGTGTGTAACGGCTTAGTGAGAATTGTGTTGTTCACTATGGACAACTGATAAGACTATGGACTTGTGTTGACATGCAGATGAAGGAAAGTAAATAGTACAGCGGTGCTGGGTTGATCACAGAGACTCAGATGACCCAGCTGTCTCACCTCCAAGTATTGTCTGCTTCTGGGCACAGGTCAGGGGCATGTAACTCTGATCAATTAATTCCACTTTAGGGACACTGGGACAGTATTTGGCTGCTTCCTGGCATACATCTGCCACTTATAGATAGTAAGGAGTACACAGGGGCACACAACTCTGATCAGTTGAGGATTGTGTAGCCTTTTCCTTCGAAACCCATTCAACAATCACAGGTAGTTAGGCAACACAAATCAACCCAGGGTTAAAGGGCATGTAACTCTATAGTCATTTCCCTTGTATATATTAATGTCATTCAAACAATGGTAAACAATAGTATAGTGATAAATAATATCACCTGTAATATCATTCCTGTGGTAATCAGGAATTAAGGATAAATAAGGTACACAGGAATTAAGGGTGAATGTGGTACACAGGAATTAAGGGTGTATGTGGTACACAGGATTAAGGGCAATATGTGGTACACAGGGATAAAGGGTGTATGAGGTACACAGGATTAAAGGGTGTATGTGGTACACAGGATTAAAGGGGATATGTGGTACACAGGAATAAAGCGTGTATGTGGTACACAAGAATAAAGGGGGTATGTGGTACACAGGAAATAAGGGTGTATGTTGTACTTAGGAATTAAGGGTGTAAGTTGTGCTCAGGAATGAAGGGTGTATGTGGTACACAGGAATAACGGGTGTATGTGGTACACAGGAATTAGGGGTGTATGTGGTACACAGGAATAAAGGATGTATGTGGTACACAGGAATTAAGTGTGTATGTGGTACACAGGAATAACGGGTGTATGTGGTACACAGGAATAACGGGTGTATGTGGTACACAGGAATAAAGGATGTATGTGGTACTCAGGAAATAAGGGTGTATGTTGTCCTTAGGAATTAAGGGTGTATGTTGTACTCAGGAATAAAGGGGGTATGTGGTACACAGGATTAAAGGGTATATGTGGTACACAGGAATAAAGCGTGTATGTGGTACACAAGAATAAAGGGTGTATGTGGTACAAAAGAATAAAGGGTGTATGTGGTACAAAAGAATAAAGGGTGTATGTGGTACAAAAGAATAAAGGGTGTATGTGGTACAAAAGAATAAAGGGTGTATGTGGTACACAAGAATAAAGGGTGTATGTGGTACAAAAGAATAAAGGGTGTATGTGGTACAAAAGAATAAAGGGTGTATGTGGTACACAGGATTAAGGGCAATATGTGGTACACAGGGATAAAGGGTGTATGAGGTACACAGGATTAAAGGGTGTATGTGGTACACAGGAAATAAGGGTGTATGTTGTACTTAGGAATTAAGGGTGTATGTTGTACTCAGGAATAAAGGGGGTATGTGGTACACAGGATTAAAGGGTGTATGTGGTACACAGGATTAAGGGCAATATGTGGTACACAGGGATAAAGGGTGTATGAGGTACACAGGATTAAAGGGTGTATGTGGTACACAGGATTAAAGGGGATATGTGGTACACAGGAATAAAGGGAGTATGTGGTACACAAGAATAAAGGGTGTATGTGGTACAAAAGAATAAAGGGTGTATGTGGTACAAAAGAATAAAGGGTGTATGTGGTACAAAAGAATAAAGGGTGTATGTGGTACAAAAGAATAAAGGGTGTATGTGGTACACAAGAATAAAGGGAGTATGTGGTACACAAGAATAAAGGGGGTATGTGGTACACAGGAATTAAGTGTGTATGTGGTACACAGGAATAAAGGGCGTATGTGGTACACAAGAATAAAGGGTGTATGTGGTACACAGGAATTAAGGGTGTATGCGGTACACAGGAATTAAGGTTGTATGTGGTACAAAGGAATAAAGGGTGTATGTGGTACACAGGATTAAAGGGTATATGTGGTACACAGGAATAAAGGGTGTATGTGGTACACAAGAATAAAGGGTGTATGTGGTACACAGGAAATAAGTGGGTACGTGGTACAAAGGAATTAGGATAAATGAGATTCACAGGGAAAAAGGGGGTATGTGGTACACAGACATTAAGGTTCTGCTATTTTATTTGCATTAAAGAACACAATGTTGAAAAATAAGACCAAGTAGAAATATAAAGATGAATTTAAAGATGTTTTAAAAAAATTAATGTACAAATATAATAATGAAGTACATTATTTTTATATATGTAGTTTCTTTGGAGGAGTAAAAGGAAACACATTTATGTATGTATAGTGTAAGGTTTATGTATGTGGTTTCAACTGTTAATGAGTAGCTGGAGGCATGAGCATTTAGTCTTCTCAGTGGATCATTACAGTGGTATATCACTCCTTAATAGTGCAAATCATGGGCAGATAACCTCGTCACAGATAGTTGTTTCAATCTGATGTTATTAGTAAAGAAATATTGAGGTTCCCACATGAGCAGTGAAGTGTAGTGATTTGTATCAACCTAGGGTAGTTAAATTTTAATTGTGTAAGCTCCGAACCTTGATGAGAGACTAAAAACTTGAAAAATATAATTACTAATGTGATTTGATAAAAGAAATTGCTACACATTTAAGTGTGGGAACCAATTACAACCAAAACTAAGAAATAACTCATATTTATGGACGAACTTTATTGAAAGAAACCCTTGAAAGAAATTGTATAATTACAAGACACATGTAAATAAAACTTTTAATTTAGGATTCTTTTGGAAATAATTACCCTGTATGTTGCTAAATATAATTTGCATTCCTTTCACATGTATCATTCTAAATTAAAAATCTAGAATCTGAAGTACCTTCCAGATCGCCATTAATTGTCATCATTGAGGTTCCACTAATTCTATCTAATAAACAGATTCCTACTGTATTTTTTTACATAGAGGTTTAATAAGGTTTCAGATTTTACTTGACAAAGACTTTGATAGTAGAGTGTATATAGCATCATCGTTTATAGCATTCCTCGGCAGCGTATAACAGTTTGTTCCTGGTACTCCATGTTTGTCATACATAAAGATAAACCTTGACTATATCATATTAATGAGGTGAGCTAGGTTATTTTCTAAAATATCTTAGTGAAGATTTTTGTTAAAATATGCCACCGTTTTCTATCATTTACCTATGAGGCAAAAATTTGCTTTTCTAGTTTAATGGAATAAGATATAGTAAAGGCTTAAAGAAATGAGACTTTAAATGCATCAGAGCTGATATAAGTCTGTCAGAATGAATTTAAAAGAAAGACATTGTCTAAATGTGATTTTGTATGTCTGGTAACACTTTTACTCCTCCTGCAAAACGCTGAGTCAGAGATGA